TTAAATAAAACGTATTATTATTATATTATTATTATTATTATTAATTTACACCCCTAGACAAAGAGCAATATTAGAAAATAAAACTGAAGACATGGAAACTTACATGAACAAATAATCTATCATATTTCAGAAAGCAGGAAGTATTCCATTTGGGAATTATATCCTAAATTGATATTGTTGGCTTGAAGGGACTTGACTGTACTTTAATTAAAGAAGATAGTTTCATTATTTTATTATATGATACCAGCATCAGCCTTTAGACTTGAATTTTTAAACATTTAGCTTACTTACACTGGCTTTTGGTGACCACTAACTTCCCCAACCTTCTTGAAATTATAGGAAAACTAATTGTGAATGCATGTCAAAATCCTCTATACCACGTTAAACAGAATATGATTAATATATTATTGAATGCCAAAATGAGAACAATTATTGGGTGGTTACACCTACAGTGACATCGTCTTTATGCAGAATCTTTATGGAAATTACGATATTAGGATTAAGATTTTAATAATAATAATAATAATAATAGTAATAATAATGATAATGGGGAAATACCATAGCCATAAATATACCATTTCAAAGCCCTTACTTTTTATTAATAAAATAAAACATTGATCTCCTCTTTAAAAAGGAAGCCTGTTAACTATTGATGTGTGCTTCTTTTTTTATGTTTCATGTGAACACATCTTCTTGCTCTCTGTTTTTGTTAATGATTTGTTACTCTAACTAATGTTTGGGGAAACCGTCAATCCAATCCAATCTGATCAAAGCAGACCCAAACAGTCCTGATGGAGCAGATTAGCTGAGTCTTTGTGTTAATATTTGAAGTTTTCAGCTGCTTTAGATCTAAACTCAACATCTGCAGCCTATAATGCTTAAATACAACAGTTTGTAACTTAAACTCAAACATCTCTAAAACCTGCAAAGACTGAACATAACCCCAATCCCTAACACCCCAACGTCTAACATCATTTAACCATCGTCAATTTAACCACTCTGAAGTTTTAAATTGGTCAGAATCTGCTGTTCTGGCAGTTCTTTGAGCTTAAAGCTTATTATAATTGGAAAGTTTAATATAACCTCAGGTGAACATTTAAATTTCACTTATTCTCTTATGTCCCGAACACAGCAGACAGCACCATATCTTGCACTGGAAAGAAACCTCTTGATTAAAAAGAATCACACCATTTCCCCCCAGTTACAGTGAGTTAGCCACTGAATAGAAAACAAGAACAACAAGTAGAGCTTAACTTTGATCTATTGAAAATTAAAAGGCATTGTTTTATTGTGTACATTGTATATTATGTATAGAATGAGGTTTTGTCCTCTAATGCTCAATCAAGCTCTTTTATCTTGTGGCAGTTTTAAGTCCCGGCATGCTGGTCAAAAGCTGGTACTCACACTCTTAACTATAGAGCCTTTCAAATGTATGAGTTTTAACAGCAACACATCAAGGTGGATGCTGTTCTTGTTTCGCTGACTATCTGATAAACAAATTTCATCAAGTTGTTACTTGAAGTGCTGTCAAGATAAAAGGACTGAGTAGATTAGTGAATGCTTGGGTTTCCTGTATCTCACCCTTAACTTGTCAAAGCAGTGAAAAACAAACAAGATGTATTTCCATAGAAAAGATTTATTCATGTTCACTTTTGAATGAAATCATCACAATTCAGGATTAAGTGCATATTCACGTATGATGTGACAAAACTGTGTACTGAGTATAAATTATAGGTGACTAATTCAGGGTATATTGCAGCATAATCAGCTGTTTTCTGTACATGTACCTGTGTAAAATCTGCAAAAGTAGGCTTATGGGTTGCTACAATAGTATATTCCTTTAAAACTAGGAATAATATTGGAAAAGTTAATGCTCTTGCAAGACCACAAGACTTTAAAGCTAAGAGCAGATTCATAGATATGGTGTCAACACCGTGTGTAAAACAACTTTAGTTTAAAAAATAAAAATAAATCAGACAAGGAAAAGTAGATAATATAGATACATTAGACTAGAAACATTACTAGTTTCTGACTCGACAAAGAGCCATTCAGATAAAACAACTCACGTTTACAGGGAAAACTACTTCCAATCTAAAAATTCAAACAAGTTACTTACATGACCTAAGACAGTTCAACCAGCATTTTTCTTTTCTATTCTGAAACTCTACAGTTTTTCCTGGTGATTTTTTTGTTGCCATGTCAACATGCTGATCAGTAAAATAGAGTTTGTTACAACAGATACTGTCTGCAGGAAGTCATCAGTTAAAAAAGGGCCAGAAAAAGCTTCCTGGGTACACAAAGTACCGTGCTGATACAAAGCTCAGAGTTAAGCTAACTTTGTGGGTCTACACAAATATGCTTTGTGCTACAAGAGTGCTGCAGACTTTCAACAGCAAAACACAGCAGTGTGAATACAACCACAATCACATTTGCTATATTTACCATTACATTCTCTACATAGTTAGTGTGATACCACACATCAGGGGACACAGCAAACCTTCTTCTTTCAATCCGAGAAAGAACGCAACCAGTTTGTAGTACATACAGAACTGTCTTAGAGCATAAAGTTAACACATTTAAATGTTACAATTCAACAGTATTCCCATTTAAACAGACTATACATTCTACACATTGCAACATTTTCTTTCCTCATTGACTCATCCTTTAGGATGAGTGTCGTCAGGCCACAGAGGACACCAACAGTCAAGCCATCATTTTACTCTTAAAACCTCGCTTTAAATCATCTTGACCACAACATGGAGAAATGTTGCGAGGCTTCAGCATCAAGTGAAAGCACCAGTAGGTGTTTAATTTCCAACATATCAATACTGTTGACTAATTGTGTGTCTAACTTGTGATTCTACAACACGTGTACCTTAGGTTGTGTTTTGGGTTGAGCTGCCAGTTTCTGTTCTGTGCAACAGAGCTTCTGCCTCCTGAAAAGATGGAGGCGTTTACATTTAATAGCAGCCCCATTGTGCACAACTTGCAGAGAGATTTTTCTTTATTTCACTTTCTGATTCCAACATGTAGGTGTCTGGTCCAGCAACTCTCAGGTCAACTGAGTCATGTACGAGTCAGCGTCAGTCCAGCTTTCAACACGAAAGAGTCATTTGGAGTTTGGTGGTAAGAAAAAACTCTTTGGAATGAGAGGGGTTTTGGTTGACAAGTATTACTGCATGCAAACAACACAGGAAGCTGCACAGAGTGCGTCCTGACTCGTTAAGACAGGATACAACATATATAGGATAATTGATGGTACCACTTAACTATGCTTTCCCAGCCAAGACATCAATGCCCTTTCTTAATGGATCAGAAAAAAACAGTCTGTTATTTCTTGTCTGTATCCACTATGTCCTCAGTCTGGGCCCAGGTACTCTGCGTTCTCTGCCGCAGGGATGTGTCCGTTGGCATGGGTCTTGAAGGTGGGAGTGAAATCCTGTTGGTAATCAGGGTTGTCTATGCTATTCTGGGGCTGGTATTTCTGAATGCTGTGGACCGTGCCGTTGGAAATGACCGGGGGGTTTGCGGGGGATGGAACCTCGTTGAGGTACTCGGGTCCACTGTTCCCGTTTTTAAAGCAGTTCAGGTATTCAGTCTCTGTGTCATCTGAAGAGATGGTGGGGAGGATGGTTCGAGGTGGACCAGGGTGCTGGTAGATGGGATTCATCATATCTGAGACTCCGTTCTGGTTCATGTAGTCTGTAAGAAAGTCAGTAACGTTAGCAAGGGCACTAGATAGTTTCTCAAGTGTATACACAGCTAAAATAGAAACTAGAAGGCAGTTTATTATGTGGAACAGACCATAATAGTGGTATTGCACCTTTCAGCCCATTAACTACAAATCATGTTATCATCATCATTATTGTGGCTTGGGCTGGAAGACTTTAAAAGTTTGACAAAAAGCCTGTGCTACAAACTGGAGGGTCTAACAAGAAGATGCTATTGAGATGCATTATGGGAAATGTAGGATACAGTAGTTTGTGGAGCTTTATCCTTACTAGAACCTATAATTCTGTATTGTGATGTCTGTTACATACTAATCTTTTAAAAATGTCTCTCCCAAAACCCCAAACTATATAGAAGGGCTATACTAAATCATTAGAGCCGCAGGTGGTGAAAATGGGGCTGATCTGAAAAATATTGGAAACTCTTATTAAGGTAAACAGAAAAGCACCTGTATGGTGGTAATTTAATAAAAGGGGGCAGGTTCTAAGGTTTACCCTATTACAGTCACCAAGACTAAATAATTATACACTAATGGTCCTTTAAACACATTGGAAGAAAGATTACACCAAATGGTAAATGGCATAATGTTCTTCAGCTGGGACGTCAGTGCAATAACTATAGCAATACGCTTCTTGTCCACTAGATGTCCCACTTCCTCACTGAATCAAACACAGGGACAAGGGGAGAGCTTTACTGAAATTCATTAGAAACACATAAAAAAAATAGTGATTTTGAAGTAGGAGGATACTTGCCTGGAGCTGGCTGGAAGGCGTCATCTAAAAATTTGTCTGTGGGGTCAGGAATATACCGGAGAACGATACTTCCATCTCTGCTCGGGAGTCCATTCTGCAAAAAAAGGACAAAGGTTTTTAGGGCTGTGGCACTCTGCAAAAAAGAATACAAAGAGAACAGTAATTTCCTTTAAGTGCAGTTTAAAGGATTTACTTTCTCTTACCAATAAGCCATTTCTGCTGTGGCACGTTCCAATGCTACT